ACTGGATGCTTCCAGTATCAGAGACCCAACCACTGCCAAACACCCTTCTCAATCCATTCACTGATCAAACTCAGGTTTTCTGGGTCAGCGTTAGGGGAAGAATGGCTTTCAGTGGCAGTGGGCCACTCCTGCCAAAGCCTTGGATTCCTTTTCTAGAATCTAGAAAACAGCCTTCTAACTCTTTTCACTAGCAGGGTCTGAGCTGCAGTCCCAACCTAGCCAAGATGCCCCACTGAAGAGAGGCTCTTGCTATTGGTCAACAGTGGTAATGGCAGAGTTCATGCCTGGGGTAGAAAGAGAGGTTTGGGCATGGAAGAAAGGAATGTTCTGGGCTCAGCGCCTGTAGCTCAAGCGGCTAAGGCGCCAGCCACATACACCAGAGCTGGCAGGTTCAAATACAGCCTGGGCCTGCCAAAACAACAATTATAACTACAACCAAAAAATAGACAGGCATTGTGGCGGATGCCGGTAGTCCCAGCTACTTGGGAGGCTGAGGCAAGAGAATTACTTGAGCCCGGGAGTTGGAGGTTGCTGTGAGTTGTAATGCCATAGCACTCTACCCAGGGTGACATCTTGAGGCTCTGTTAAAAAAAAAAAGATAGAAAACAAAAGAATGTTCTGGAGATGACCATGTTGACTCATGATGGTGGGTGGTAACAGATTCTGGATCATAATTGTGCATTTGCCATGGATTCACTGGAGTCTCAATTTGCCCATCAGTATAAAGGTGCAGATTTGGTTCAGTTTCCAAACCATTCCTTAAAGCCTCAGAGCCTTTTCTTCAAATGCAAATTTATAAGGCAGGTTCATATACTATTTAAAATGGCAATGTAACAAAGGTAGATAATAAGTCAAAAGCTATAATCCCCCACCTCTCCAAAAGTTTCTATATACCTGAAAAGAATTCCTTAAATCAACATTTGGACTATGGAGGTAATTAAAATGAAAGATATCCACCAGAACCAAATGACAATAAAAACACTATATACAGAAACCTGTGGGATGTGGTCAAAGCTATACTCAGAGGGAAAATTATAGCTTAAATACATAGAGAGTACCAAAAGAAAAAAAGCTTGAAAATGAACAAAACAAGCACTCAAAACACTAGGGAAAGTGCACAAAATAAACCAAAAAGAAAAAGGGTAAAGAAATAAGAAAGATAAAAGCAGAAATGAATGAAATGTAAAATAAAACATAGTCAATAAGACCTAAGGATGATTCTTTGAAAATGCCAGTGAAAAAGACAAATTTTTTCTTTGTGATCAAGGAAACAAAAAACAGAAGCAAACATAAACAACAAAATAGGCCAGCATGGTGGCTCACACCTGTGATTCTAGCACTCTGGGAGGCCGAGATGGGTGGATTGCCTGAGCTCAGGAGTTTAAGACCAGCCTGAGCAAGAGTGAGACCCTGCCTCTACTAAAAATAGAAAAACTGAGGCAAAAGGATCACTTGAGCCCAAAAGTTTGAGGTTGCTGTGAGCTATGATGATGATACTAACTCTAGAGTGACAAAGTGAGATTCTGTCTCAAATAAATAAATAACAAAATAAAAAAAGATACAGAGGAGATAAGTATATATATATATATATATATATATAAGATAAATGGGTCTGGTTGAAGCAGAGGGTGCTCAAAAAAAATGCATGGAGGGAAGAGGGGCCTGTTAGTTGCTCTGGCAGCCACTCCCCTCCTCTATTCCATGATGCAGGCATTGTCTCCCTCCACAGAACTTGCATATGTCAGGTACTCACTTTCCCAGGATGTCTTACACCATAGGTGGCCATGTGACAAATTCAAGCCAATAAAGAAGACAGCCTAAAATCCCATCCCCTGACTCCACGCCACCTAAGGGGTTGGTTTTTTTGTTTTGTTTTGTTTAGTTTTGAGACAGAGTCTGAAGCTATCGCCCTGGGTAGAGTGCTGTAGCATCACAGCTCACAGCAACCTCAAACTCCTGGACTTAAGCTGTTCTCTTTCCTCAGTTTCCCAAGTAGATGGGACTACAGGCACCTGCCACAATGCCTGGCTATTTTTTGGTTGTAGTTGTCATTGTTGTTTAGCAGGCCCGGGCTGGATTCGAACCTGCCAGCTTTAGTGTGTGTGGCTGGTGTCCTAGCTGCTGAGCTACTGGTGCCAAGCCACCACCTAAGGGGTCTCTAAGGGAGCTCTACAGAGTTTGAAAGCTATTGTCCAAATCAGTGGTCTCCAATGTGGGGTTTCCAGCTATGATGTGAGGATGTATTTGAGCAGTTAACCCCAACACTACCCAGCCCAGAAAAAGGAAATAGCATCCATATTTCCACTCCACCTCCAAGTTCACATAAGAGTCAGTAACAAATATAGGAGTCTAGGTATATCACTTAGGATTGATCTTCAGTGGCTAGTGAGAGAGATTAGAAATAACACAAATGATTAGAAACCGATAAATAATATAAGAGACAAACTGGGATATGGAGGATATACATAGCTTACAGGGATAAAAGATTCTTTTCCTCACACATAAAATACACCCAGAAGCAGATTGCTCAGAGCTGGAATGCAAGTCCCATAGCATCATCTGAGGCACAGCCCTTTCTATTTTTTTGCTCCATCTTCCTTAGCTTGGGGCTTCTATTCTCTCAAGCACCTCATGACCCAATATGGCTGCTGGAGCAGCAGCTGCCTCAGCCATATTCCAGGCGAGAAGCAGAAAGAAGACAAAGGACAAAAAGCAGCCCCAAGCCAGTTTGTGGACTGTGCCCCTTTTAA